CTAAACTACCACACTCCCCGCAACTGTTCCAGCCTGTGGCTGTTGGAGGAAGAGGAAGGAATGAGGAAGAGAATTGGAGGGAGGAGACTGGGCACGTCTTGGACCCGCCTTTAAACGTGGGCTCTTTAGGGCACTAAATTGTCCGGGAATGTGGGTATTTCTTTAATGTACAATCATTATTTTAATGAAATAATTTCTTCTGTAAAAGTTGGAATTCTAGCTGCCCAAAGTTTGTACCTCTTTCAGAAGTATATCCAAGCAACTTTTAAAAAAGCATCTACCAATTGGAAGTATTTTGTTCACATTAATCTGTTTGAGACTTTCTTCTCCTATTTTAGCACAAAACTTTCTTAAACAGTGCTGCATAATTAGCCCTATTAGAATAATTCATATAATGTAATTATAGTACCTAAAATGTAACTTTTGAGAAGTAGAATGTAAATATTACAGCCTTGGAAATAATTAGTAGTGACAAAGCTTTTTATACAATTTTTTCTTGAACATATGCTAAATCATACCAATTTGCTAGCAAGGTAGTTAGCAAAGTGACATTTGGTTTTTGCTTTTTTGCCAGTACAGAGACTTTAAGGAAACGGGGGTGGAGGGTAGCGGGTGTGGGGTGTGTGTGTGTCCTAGAGCTAGGAATAAAAATGCTTACATTAGCAGCTAGTTTTATTTTTTGTTTGTTTGGTTTTCAAGAAGATTATAAAAACATCATGCCCAAAGTAGTAATTATGAAATAAGTCTATGGCAGGGTGGTTGGAGGTACTTGGGATGGTGGTTATCAGAAGAGAAAGTGTACATTTAAGAAGTGTGTGATAAAAAAAGAGAGGAGTGTATGATAAGAATGTACATATAATTGAAATTGAGATAATGAGTTTTCTCAATTGTAATATCCAATCGGGCCAGTCAACATGGAAGTATAAAGTGGAGTTAAACAGTGATCAGTAACAGAGGACCAAACAAGTTAATTTTAAATGGCTTATTGCCAATTACTTTCTCCAACTATAAAAATGTAGAATGCATAGCAACCAATTTCTTAGTTTTGGGACACACATTTTATTTATTATTATTATTTTAAAAATATATTTTATTGATTTTTTTTTACAGAGAGGAAGAGAGAGATATAGAGAGTTAGAAACATTGATGAGAGAGAAACACTGATCAGCTGCCTCCTGCACACTCCCTACTGGGGATGTGCCTGCAACCAAGGTACATGCTCTTGACCAGAATCAAACCCGGGACCTTTCAGTCTGCAGGCCAATGCTCTATCCACTGAGCCAAGCCGGTTTCCGCTTGGGACACACATTAAAAAAAAAATTGATTGAGTAACCCAAATTTTCTGCCTATTTCAGAGGGTTGTTTGTGAAGATTAAATCAGATGATGACAGCCCTTTGAATATTTTAAAGCACTAGACAATTATAATTCTCTACACCCTCTCACTTATTTGTACTCATTTAGCTTATGCAATGGAGACAAGATTTTCTAGGAAAATAAATGGCTTTTTCACAAACAGCCAATAAACAAACATATACACATAATACTTACAAGTCTGTATAACAATTAACATTTAAATAAGCCAAAGGGGAAAACATTATGTGTTAAATATAATCTGTGTCAATTATTAACAAAAGTCGGGCCAGTATTCCCTCAGAGAAAAGTATTTATTTGGGAAAAAAAAAAAAAGATGACAATCCAAAATGTGTAGCCATGGCTAACCATGGAGCTTCTTGCTTGGATAAAGAAGAGGAGGTACTTGATAGAGGGGAAGAGGAAGTCCAGGCGAGGGGCTGCCAATATCACAGAGTTCTGTGATAAACATAGAGCTCTTCTTTTTGAAGACATAGGATGTAAGAATTTCTCCTGTAAGTCCTCCATAGTCCAGTCTAGGCTAAGGCATGGGTCATAAATTTTAACAAGTGCAAGATTGGGTACCTGGAATTTATGGGGGTGGAGGTGGGGAAGGGTGTCATTGACCTTTGTTTTATGAGCTGATATTCTTTTTTTCTTCCACATCTGCTAACTGGGCATAAGTTTAGAATGTCTATCTTTGAAATTGCAGGGCAAAGTCGCCGCATCAAAGCACCCAATAGGCTAAGCTTCAAGTATGTGGGCCATGCATGTACAAAATATGTTTTGAAAGCTGTCAATTAAGTAAACTAAACTCGTTTACACACCAAGAAAGTGATTTTCGAAAATTATGCTATTCTCAAAGTTCTGCTAGACCAAAGAAAAAGAGGTTAAGGAATCAGAGGAAGGCTCTGATCAAGGAGTCTTGCTTGCAGCCAGGGGAACTCAGGTATAAACCCCTTTCATCACCCAGACCATCCGGCACAGGATGTAAACGTGGCGGGAGGAGTACTGTTTTGTGTTCCTTTACTGCGATTCAGGTGGCCGGGTCACAGTCTGGGCTTGCTCTGTTAATTCTCCCATGTTTTTTTTGGGGAGAACTGTCTCAGATTTGTCTCTGCGTCCCCACATTGCAAAGCGGGGAGAGATTTTTGTTTTTTTGGCGAGTCCCTGTCGAAGGTGTGAGCCGGAGAGAAGCGGAAGAAAGCCGCTTCCGGTGACTGAGCGCGCTGCCCGCCAGCCTACAGGGGCTGCGGCTGCGGGTCACGCGATTGACCGCTGCGGGTCACGCGATTGACCGCTGCGGGTCACGTGATTGGCACGCGCTGACTGCCGGGAAGGCCAGCTCCCGCCGCCGCCGCAGCCTTCGGAGTCTGCGCACTCACGCTTGGGGCTCCGGTTCCCGCGGTCTGGCAGCTGCTGGCGGGAGAGCCGCTGGCGAGGAGAGGTCCTGAGCGCCGCGGGCGGGTTTGGTGGGGCCGGGGGGATGGCCTGTGCTTGTGGGGGCAGTGGAGAGGGTGCAGGCCTCCTGGGGGTCTCCTGTGGCGAAGGGAGGAGAGAGGGCGGGAAGTGAGGAAGCACGAGGCCGAGTGGCCCGAGGGCCGCGGCGGCCTGAGGGGAAGAGGAGGCCGGGAGCGCGGGCGTGAGGCGCTGTGAGGCCTTGTGTGGTGACGGAACATCTGTTTTTTCCAGAGGGAGAATGGTCTGGTTGTAAAAGTTGTGGTTTGACACGCGTGCACGTGCAGTTGTTCTGAGAGGAGAGAAGAGGTGGGCGGGGACAGGAAGATACAGGGGCAGCGGGGAGAGAACCGCGTCCACGTCGGCTTCTGGGGCACAAACCACCCGGCAGAGCCTGCGGGGCCCGCGGGGTCGATGGTATTTTCCACGCGACGCCGGGTGACGCCGAGGGCGGTGGCATTACAGGGAATTCAGGAAACACATATTTATTCCTTGTTGCTGGCTAATACAAAGGAAGACTATATGTGACTAGTCAGCCAATACAGTGATCGACGTCAGCATACTTTCTCAACATCAAGCTAAATGCTGTAAATGGGTAACTTGAGGTATAGGGACTATGCCGTTCTAGGCTTCAACATTTTTCCTTTCAGTAAACGTAATCTTTCGGTTTCATAGGGAAGTTATCTTCAGAACTTACAGAAAAGTAACTCAGAGGTAAAATGGGATGCCATGTGGAAGCAGAAGGAGACAGTGGACATAGCCACAGGCTGGAAGAGGTCTGGCCTAATCCCAGTTTGACTTGTTTGAAGTTGGTCAGCCATCTTTGCCCCTGTTTTCATGTCTGTAAAAAATGAGGTAGATGAACAGTGTTTGAGTTCTGAGACATCGTGAAGGTAGAAGCATCTTAAATGAACCCTGGGGCAAGGCAGAAGGGCCAAAGACACGAGTTTGGCTGGCTGTACAAAGAGGGAGTAGACGAAAATCCTGTGAATGGTAGGCTAGGCCCAGGTGATGTAGGACTTCGGATGGAATTTGAACTTATTCTGTCTGGAGCAATGAGTACTCAAGGACAAGTTTTTGAGATAAGGGAATGCAGTCATTACAGTTTTGAAAGTTAAGGAATATGGTAATCAGAGTTTTGAAAGACTTCCCAAACAGCAGTGGGTAGGGTGACTTAGAGAAAGGAGGGATGGGGAGGTAAGTGAGAGGTAATGAGAGCCTAAATTAACCTTGGCAATGGGTGGGAAGATTCAAGAGATCTGTGTAGCATGGAGTTTGTACTTAAGTTTGGCATTGCTCTAAATTTTGCAGCTCTTACCTCCAAATTATGATGGCAAATCACCTTGTAAAACCTGATAGTAGAAATTGCAAGAGACCAAGAGAATTGGAGGTAATCTATATGCTCTTCCCAGAGCCTTAATACTTTATTGGATATGCTTCTCAAATATCTTCCACTCAAGAAAGTTCTATTGATAAATGGAATTTAAATTTTCATATTCCCAGAGCTGGGATTGTTCCAGCAGGAACTATATTGACTCCAGCTGCTTGTTTACTAAGTATATGGGAAAACCTCCAAGAAACTATTGGGAGATTTTTTTGTGGTAATTTGTGTCTAGAGACACAAGTGCATTCATATCTTTATGAAATCTAGGACTTCAAATACTTATTTTGCTATAATAAGTAGTAGTACTGGAGTTGCTGAAATTTTAAAATTAGAACACTCTTCTGCTTTTCTTCACTACTGTTTCCACCAATTGATGTTTAAATTTGGGACATTGTTATCTTGCAAAATTTTTCAAGCATTTGGCTATTGTCTAAATTAAAAGTTTGCTAGATAGCTATGAAAACATCTACTTGTTCAAGGTACAGGAAACTTTTTCATTAGGAGGTTAATAACATTCAAAAAAGTAAAAATAAAATTTAGTATATTGAACCAGGTGCTCGTTGGAACTAAAAGTTTACTTGGTAATAAAATTTCAAATGCATTAGCATTTAATTTCAAATATAATTAGCAAATGACAAGAGCCTATAATTTCTAGCATGTTTCCTTTTTTTTTTAATGAAAGGTGTTTTATTTGCTTTAAATAAATAGTATATATATATATATATATATATATATATATATATATATATATCCATCTTAAGGATTCTGTTAAATGTTTAGCTGTTTTCTTTTACTTTCTTGTATTAGCCTCAAATGCCAGATAGTCCACAACTGTCCTCTCCTGGAAAATCAGATGCCTCTTTCTCTGAAAGCTCTGGACTATTTTATAAAGATGAAGCCCTGGAGAAAGATTTGAATGGTGTTGTATAAAATGCTTATATTGCTGTATACTTATTTTTATAATCAGAAGGTTTGTTATATGTCATAACTCAGTGTTTTTTTTTTATAGAGATAAGCAAGGAAATTAGTCTAATGTTGTCTACATATGCAAAAATTTTAAGGTAAGTACTTATATATTTTCGAGTCCTGATCTTAGAAGTTTTCTTCAGGAAATTCCATATGGGAACTTTATGTTCAGTGACTGCAGAACCTATCCAGTTACTGTAATTTTGGAATTTTTAAATTTGACCTTAATTTCTTATAATAATTTAGTTGTTATTTTCAAAGAAAAGCCCTTACTTCTTTGTTGAGTGGAAGGGAGGGAGAGAGCGGGAGAGAGGAAAGGGAGAAAAGAGAAACATTGATGTGAGAGATGGGCTGTGATGTTCACACAGTGATCTATTCACCAGAAGACATATTTCTACAAACATATCCCCATCGTTAAGTGAAGCATGACTGTATATAGTTTGATATTAGAATTATAATGTATAAGATACATATTCTGCTGTGTTAGGAGAATTTGAATAGTCAAAAATATTTGTAAGACTAATTTAACTTTTATCAAAGTATTTGTAAATTACTGAAGCTTTCTGATGTTCAAAGCTATTTAAATGAAGTAGCTAAAAAACATAGCATAAAAAAGAACATAACCATGATAGTGTGTTTTGATGTTGTAACTATTTAGTCTAACATTAGCCTTTTTTACCCCATCAGTGAGAGAGCAGCAGTAGATGCTTCTTTCATCGACGAAATAGAAGGACTCTTCAAAGAAGCCAATACTATTGAAAACTTTCTAGTACAAAAAAGAGAGCTCCTGAGACAGAGGTTTACAGTTATTGCAAATACACTACACAGTTAAAAGTCATGTACTTAAAATAAGCTGAGAATTTTTTTAAAACCCATTATTGTTGTAAGGAAATGACATTTATGCTCTGAAAGCTCTCTCCTTGTTAAAATGTATACCTTACACATAAAAGGGGATACACCTTGAATTTCTTTTCTAGACTTAAAGGGGGCTTTAAACTGGATATTAATACCTTTTGAGGGTCAGCTCTTTGGTGTAGTTTATAAAAGTGTAAATTAAATTATTGATTCTTTTATTTTTTTAACACCCTAGTCTTCAACTTCAAAAAGAGGATTCAATGAGTTAATTTGATGTTTAACAACATTGTTCTTTTTTGGGGGAATATTTTATTTTAAATAGAAGATAGCATTGGAGATAGTTTTAAAATGTTTTTCATGGTTAGTTTTATAAAAAAATTAAAACCTACAGGTAATTTGTTCAGTTTCTCAATATGTAGAAAACTATATGTGTTCTTGCTATTTAATATAATAATTTTATTATTTCACTATTAGTTATTATACATGATTAATAAAAGTTTTTTGTTTATAATTATTTTCTTGTGCTATAATAAAAACCAGAAATAACCAGACCTCATATGAGTTGGCTTTTTTTAATACAACGATGAATTGTACTTAGAAGCATTAACAGTTGTGTGGTATGGGATAAAATTAGTGGTCCAAATGTAAAGAGATTGGGTAAACAACAAGGTGACTGTTGAGTTATTTAAATCTTATAATTCAGAAACTAAACTAGTAGATTTTTAATACTTATCTAGCTAAAAATTTTCCCTTTGATGGAAGATACTACTATGATTTTATTGCAAATTTTCAATATGTCATATAATTATACTAGAGGCCCGGTGCATGAAATTCATGCATGGGGTGTGTGTGTGTGTCCCTCAGCCTCACCTGCACCCTCTCCAATTTGGGACCCCTCGAGGGATGTTCAACTGCCCGTTTAGGTCCGATCCCAATAGGGAGGGCAGTTAGGGATGACCAGGACTGCTGGCTCCCAACTGCTCGCCTGCCTGCATTCTTTTTTTCTTTTCTTTTTCTTTTTTTTAATATATTTTATTGATTTTTTACAGAGAGAAAGGGAGAAGGATAGAGAGTTAGAAACATCGATGAGAGAGAATCATTGATCAGCTGCCTCTTGCACACCCCCTACTGGCGATGTGTCCGCAACCAAGGTACATGCCCTTGACCGGAATCGAACTCGGGACCCTTCAGTCCGCAGGCCAACGCTCTATTCACTGAGCCAAACCCGTTTTGGTCTGCCTGCATTGTTTTTTTTTTTTTTTTTTTAAATATATTTTATTGATTTTGTACAGAGAGGAAAGGAGAGAGATAGCTAGAAACATCGATGGGAGAGAGTCATCGATCAGCTGCCTCTTGCACACCCCCTACTGGGAATATGCCTGCAACCAAGGTACATGCCCTTGACCGGAATCGAACCCGGGACCCTTCGGTCCCCAAGCCGATGCTCTACCCATTGAGCTAAACCGGTTTCGGCATCTGCCTGCATTGTTAATTGCCCCTAACCATTTCTGCTTGCCAGCCTGATCACTCCCTGATCATTCCCCTGCCAGCCCGATTGCCCCTAACTGCCCTCCCCTGCAGGCATGGTCACCCCCAACTGCTCTCCCCTGCTAGCCCAGTCATCCCTAACTTCCCTCCCTTGCCAGCCTGGTCATCCCTAACTGCCCTCCCCTGCAGGCTTGATCGCCTTCCACTGTTCTTCCTTGCAGGCCTGGTCCCTCCCAACTGCCTTCCCCTGCAGGCCATCTTGTGGCAGCCGTCTTGTGTGTTGGAGTGACAATTTGCATATTACTCTTTAATTAGGATGACATAACTATATTAATCAGATTTTAAAAAATCATAGCACTCATTTTAAAATCATATAGATACTTTAATCTATTGTAAGTGTAGTTTGCTGATATAAGCAATCACAAATTTGGACATACTTAGAAACAATACTACAAGGAATTTGATATTTTTTAGGTGGTTAGCATGTTTATCTTGCAGCCTTTTAAATCCTATCTAATAAAGAGGGAATATGCTAATTGACTGCCATGCCCTCAAAGATGGCAGTGCTCCCAGCCACAAGATGGCGATGCCCAGTTCCCTTAACTCTACGGGCAGCAAGTGTGCCTGCTTTTGGAGTCCCCCAGTCTCCTCAGCCCTGCAGCCGCTGAGGGCCAGCTCGAGGTGCAGGCAAGCCTCAGATGGTGGCTGTCCTGCTTACCAGGGACACCCAAGGCTCAAGTAACCAGAGCTGGCCGAGGCGTTGCCAGCAGTAGTAGCAGCAGAAGTGTGATGGAGATGTCACCTTCCCCTGATTTCCAGGTCGCCTCCCATCCCTGAGGGCTCCCAGACTGTGAGAGAGGGCAAGCCTGGCTGAGGGATCCCTCCCATCCTCTAGTGTTAAAATAAAATCTCATTTAATGAAATGACTATTTGAAGATTATATATATATATATATATATATATATATATATATATATACCACATAGCATAAATACTAATACAAGGAAGGATTAAAAACAGTAAGAGAACATTTTCTAAAAATATTGTTTATTAAGTGGAAAAATTATTAGGTTTGTATAGGGGTACACTAATGGAGGGCAATGAAGTAACTAATAGAAATGGGATTTTTTAATATTAAATGCAGCCAGAAGACGGTATTTGAATTAATATGCCATATCACCTGGATTTTGAGTTATTCTGTTACTTTGTAGAATTCTTGAATGTTCTAAATACAAAGATGACTATACTGGCCCATCATTAGAAGTCGTTATTTTTTTCCTAAGCATTTATTATTAATGTGAAAGCCAAGGCTAACAGAATGTTTCAGAACAGATTTCATAATATATTGGTTATAACTTGATGGTGTTATCATTGTTCAGCATCTGATTCTTCCCTGTGCAGGTACAAAGTATTGATTTGATCTCTTTATTTGGTATATTAACACTGGAACTGATTTTTAGTGAAAAAATGCATTTACCGGTCAGAACAAAAGGCAAAAGTTCCTGAATGCCTAATTAAGGCTTATTTTTGTCAAATTTTATTCAGATAAACAAGAATAATTATCTCACCTCTGGAGATATACTTATTGTAGGAATACTATTGCCCTTTAATTTACACTTCTAATATTTCAATAAAATTTTGCAAGTTTATACTTTTTACTGATTACAAACCAAAATACATATTGAATATCTTTGTGCATCATATTATGCTAGGCACTGTGGGAAATACAGAATAGCTTAAGATACTCTTTGCTCTCCTTTCTGAAAATTTAACCACTCCTTTCTTGAAATACACTTACATGCCTTTGCTGGGAAACATGACATGTAAATGTTAAAAGTACCTCTGTGGCAGTGGCAGTGGCAAAATCAAGATCCTGTACTCAAGGAATACTGATAGTAGATGTTATCAAATTTGTTCATCTTTATTGTGCAAACAATAAAGTAGGCGATTTAGCAGGTGGGAAATTGATTTGGTAGGGGAAAAGTGAAGAATTCTTGTTTGACATGTTGGGCCACTTGCAAAAAGTAATTGGTAAAATTAAGGTTCAAGGAAGACTGGTGGATTAAATAGTAAAGGTCCAAGGTTAGACCTCAAGAACCCATTCATGAGGTGATACGGAGAAGAGGAGTTAATGAAAGAAGTTAACATTTGAAAATTAGTACTGTCATTATATTTGGTTATGATGATAGATATGAATGGGAGGTATTATTTCCCGTTTATCCCCAGTATCCTTGTTTAGCATTAAAAAACCTATGGTTCAGAGTGATTAGTAACTTGCCCAAAGTGTCATCTAATAATAGTAAAGCTGGCATAAAGCAAACAAGAGGGAACAGGACTGTTTGAAAAGTGCAATGTCAGGGAAGGCAACATTTTAGAAAGAGGTTCGAGGAGGTGTTGACCACAATATCAAGTACCATAGCAAGGCTGAAGAGCATGCTATAGAGTACAGAACATATAGACATTTAATATTTTCTAAAACATAAAATGTTTTAAATCCATGAAACTCTATTCAGACAAATGCCCTATCAGGGTATTCAATTTAATTCTGCTTAAATACGAAGAGTAAAATACCTAACCTCAGGGAATTTATTTTAATCTAAGAGGAGA